TAAAGGTTATACTAAAAAACAAGGAGTTGATTATGAGGAAACTTTTTCACCAGTAGAAATGCTTAAGTCTATTCGGATATTGCTAGCCATAGCTGCGTATTATGACTACGAGATATGGAAAATGGATGTGAAAACTACATTTCTTAATGGAAACATTAAGGAGACATTTATATGAAACAACCGCAGGGTTTCATATCCAGTGGGAGCGAACAAATGGTTTGTAAGCTTCAAAGGTCCATTTATGGACTTAAACAAGCTTCGAGGAGTTGGAACATTCAGTTTGATGAAACAATCAAAACGTTTGACTTTCATCAGAATCCGGATGAACCATGTGTTTATAAGAAGGTTAGTGGGAATGCAGTTGCTTTTGTTGTTCTCTATGTTGATGACATTCTACTCATTGGGAATGATGTAGGGATGTTACAGTCAACTAGGACATGGTTGTCTAAACAGTTTTCCATGAAAGACTTAGGAGAAGCATCTTTTATCCTAGGGATAAAAATCTATAAAGATATATTTAAAAGGATGATCGGACTATCCTAGTCAACGTACATAAATAAGGTGCTAAAACGGTTTAGCATGGAAGAATCCAAACGTGGATATATTCCATTGAGTCATGGGGTTTTTCTTTCTAAGATGATGTCTCCAAAGACACCTGAAGAAAGAGAACGGATGAGTCATATACCTTATGCATCAGCTATTGGTAGCATTATGTATGCGATGTTATGTACAAGACCTGATGTTGCTCATGCACTAAGTGTAACGAGCAGATATCAGTCTAATCCAGGTGAAGAACACTGGAAAGCCGTTAAGAATATTCTTAAGTACTTACGAAGGACTAAATATATCTTTATGGTATACGACAATGGAGAATTGAAACTAGAAGTCTTTACTGATTCTGGTTTTCAGTCCGATAAAGACGACTTTAAATCCATGTCTGGGTACTTATTTACTCTGAATGGAGCAGCAGTTAGTTGAAAAAGTTCCAAACAAGAAACAATTGCTGACTCTACTACAGAGGTTGAATATATTGCTGCATCCGATGCTGCAAAAGAAGATGTTTGGATAAGGAACTTCATGCAAGGGTTGGGTGTAGTACCATCCGTTGTTAATCCAATAATGATTTATTGTGATAACAATGGGGCTATTGCGCAAGCAAAGGAGCCAAGATCTCATCAAAGATCCAAGCACATTATGAAAACGATACCATTTGATTAGAAAAATCATTGGTAGAGTGACGTCGTTGTGGAATGAGTCGACTCAGTAGAAAATATAGTAGATCCCTTAACTAAGCCCGTATCACAGAAAGTGTTCAAAGG